TTGTGTCTATGCATTTTTAATTTTTTTAAACTGCTATTGTAACAATATATCAGGAACTTTGTATTAAATTTTAACACTTTTTGGCCTAACCTTATTATTATTCACAAAAAAAAAAAAAAAATTGAAATATGAAATTGTAAGTAAACAGCTCAAAAAAAGCAAAATCTTTTGAAAATTTTATCAAGTATAAGAATTTATAAAATTAACATTCAGTAAAATGTTCATGTATTTATAGTTATTTGTTTTTAAATTACAACAAAATAAGAAAATCGCTACATGAGAAATGGAGTGAATATCCAATGTTGTAAAAATTTGAATTTCAAACGGTCATAAAAATTTAATTTGACTTTTACATAGACATTGTTTTTTTGATAAATGTAGATAATCTTATAAGGAATCTTGTATTACATTTTAAAATCTTAAATTTAAAAAGAAAAATTTATACGAATTTTTAACTCAAAATAATTTGCTAATTTTCGTGATTTTTCCATATTTTGTCAATTTTTGAACTTTAAATGATTATAAAAAAAAACTGTGACTAGGGATTTTTAATATTTTTCAAATGTTGTTGTAATAATATAGTAGGAGCCTTGTATTAAATGTTCAAGTATTTTTACTCAACAAATAAAGCTTTAATGACATTTATAGAAAACAAAACCAATAAAACGGGAAACTGAAACAGTCAATAAACAGTTCAAAACAAATGAAAATATTTTGTAAATGTTATCATAAATAGAAAATGCAAATATAAACAACCAGTAAAAATGTCATGTATCTACGGTCATTTGTTTTAAAGTTACACCAAAAACCAAAGTCAATTTAATAAAAAATCGATTTTGCGTAAAAATTCCAGTTTTTCTTGGCGCTTTTGAAAATTACTGGGATGTTACCTTCTTTCCAATTTTTTTTCAATTTACTGTTCTACAAATATGTATTTTATTAGAAAATATGGGTCCTGTGTGGACGAGCATTATAAACATTAACAATTACTAAAGAAAAAACTAATATCAATCAGTAAATACAATCCATGAAGAGCTTTAGCCACCTCTATAAATGGTCTAGCTTACCCAGGAAAGAAGGTAACATTAGAGTAGTTTTCGAATGTACTCTGTGATTGAGTAAGTCACTGTAATATATGTATTAAATTTAAATTCAATAATAAATCAATCCTTATGAAAATTGATTTTGCGAAAACCAAAATAGGTGAAAAATAAAATCGTTCACCTAGCAACCCTTCCAATCTCCTTTAATAAAAACTTTTGAATGTAAAAAAATCTCTGACATCACATTATTTTTAGCTTTATTATTCATAGTTTATAGTGTATTTCATCCCCATTCATTCAAAGCACCCTAAGTAAAAAAACATGATTTTTGAGAAGCAGCTTTGGCAATTTTTTCAAACTTTAGATGTATGCCAAATATAACCAAATTTTGTTTTTGCTTGTTCTAATTGAATATGTTTTTAATCAAAGCAGTTACTTATGAATGGGAATTTTGACACTGTGAAAGAATTACTCATTATAGTTAAAATACAAATTATTAAGTTGGACTTAGTGTGTTTTGCATGTAGGTATGTAATTGGTGTAATTGGACCTAGCACAACCTAAATTTATCAAAATCTATTCAATTCCATACAATTAGCACTATTATAATAATTTTATTCTAAATGTAAATAAAAGGTTGTTTTTCTATATCAACATTTAATTATTTCTGCCCAATGCGATCCCTAGGTTGAGAAATGCTGGTCTAAGCTGTATAAATGGAAATTTTGTGAATTCTTAACTACAAAATTAATTACAAGTTTTCATAATTTTGATCAATTTTTTCCAAGTTTATACTTCAAATTTTATTATATTTAACATAATCAAATAGCTATAATAAAATAGTATAAGGAAACTTGTGTTAAGTTTGATAGATTTTTGACCAAGCAAAAAGTTTCAAATTGTTGTTTAAAAAAAATCAAAAATGTAAAATGTCTATAAGTAGAGTCTAAATATTTTTTAAATAATAACATGAATAGAAAATACTAATCACTAATTAGTCTTGTAAAGTATTTGAGTTAATGTATTTAAATACTGCATTGGACATATTTGTATTTGAAATTTAAATACTTTTATATAAATGCTTTGAAAATTGAAAACAATTATGTGTCAGATTTTTCTTGATACTAATTATATTACATTATTTATAATATTAATTATTCAAGCATAGATGTTGAGAACCTTTATTGGCGGTGTCTCGTTTATGATTATTAGAAATAATATACCGACTTCTGATACCTTTATAGGAACCCAGTACACTTGTTATTCAATTAAAATTAGTTTTGAAAATTGAATATACCTCTTAAATTAATAATATCTTACCTAGTAAAATAATTAAATTAATTTCTGATTTTTTTAACAACTGTTTAATTACCAAATAATAAAGTAGGTATTTCAAAATTATTATAAAACAAATTGTATTTATTTTTCAGTATACATTTAAGAAGAAGGTACAAAAATTTCTAATAATACCTAGTTGAATGTAACATTACACTATTTTAAATTAGTAATTACAAAATTAATTTTTCAAACAGAAATTTATCAAGCAAAATGAAAAAATGATTTCATAAGTATTTGAAGTACATGGCAAGTATTTGTATTTGTTCTTAAATGTATTTTTAATACTTTCTGAATGTATGTATTTGTATGTGTATTTAAATAAAATTGTAAAGGTATCTTTTACTAATACAGAAACTTAGTGTGCATTCAACTATTCAAGTTTTTACAGTTATTCATTTTTGAATAAGGTACAACAAAAAAAGAAAATCGATTTTGTCAACAAATTTATGTATTTGATTCCTTAATTTGTTTATTGTCTTTCACAATTATTATCAAAAGTACAGGCACATTTTTAATTTTACCTCTAAAAAATACCAACTAGAATTATTTTTATTAGAAAAGATATCAATATTAAGAATTGAAAAATAATAATAATACACACAACTGAGCGGACAATGAATGTAATGGTTTTACAGTCATTCTAGCACTGCTCAGAATCTAAAATGCAAAAAAACTATAATTTTTAATTTTATAAGGATACCCAGCATTCAAAAAATACCTGCTGTGCATGTTAAATTATCAACAAACACCGGTAAATATTCTCATCTATATAAACATAAAAATTCCAATTTTCACTTAATCACTAGAATATATCAATTATTGCAGTCAAGGCAATGCAGAAATGCATACCTGTATATTTTTATTTATTTTTTTATTTGACAGTAATGTAAAGTATTTGAATACTTGTATTTAAAAAAAAGCGGTTAAGTGGGTGTTGCTCTGCTATACAGTATAGGTAACAAATGGATCACTGTAATGAATGGTGTTAAATTTAAATTCAATGATATAATACATTGTATGAGAAAAACGATTCTGAGCGAAGACGGTTTTCAGCTAAGGATAATGTAAATTATATTTATATTATTATTATTAATACAGATGTCCGTAAGTTGAATTAATATTATTTGTACATAATAATATACTAAGTTTTATGTGCTCACGAATAATATTTTTATATTAAAACCCAAAACTAAAATTTTTCTTCTTCATTAAAATGTCTAATTTTGTTCAAACTTGAATTGAAATAACTATAAAAATAACTGTGTTTGTATATTTCAATATTTTTGGGATTTTGTGGTTACAATATGAACTACTAATGTTTAACTTGGTTTATAATTTGTAATCCTTAGCTATAAAAATTTAACATTATAAAATTTTTTAACTGCAAAATAGTTTGGAAATTTTCATTATGATAAACTTTGTTAAAAATGCTAATAAAAAAAAATGTTGCCTATATATTTGTAATTGTAACAATATAAATATTAGGAGCCTTTTTCAAACTTTTTTACCTGATAAATAAATATCTATTCATTTTACATTCACAGAAAAAAACCAAAATATTTTAAAACTGAAAATGTCTGTATAAATAAGTCAAAACAAATCAAAATATCTTGAAAATGAAATTGTGTATAGAAAATGTTAATGTAAACAACCAGTGAAAATTGCATGTATATACGGTAATTTGTTTTAGAGTTACATAAAAAACCAAAATCAATTTTGCATTAAACCAAATTTGTGTAAAATTTCCTGTTTTTTCTTAATTTTTATTTTGTTTTTCCAGGAGATTTTGAAAACAATTGGCAGTTTTAAATTTTGACCTCCTGAATGCACCAACTAGATTCACTTTCCCATCGAACAAGATATTGTTGAAGAAAAACGAAGAAGTGTTACTGCCCCAAAAAATGATAACAGACACAAAATAAAAATTTTTTAATTTTAAATGTAACAAAAGTCTTAACTTCAAAAACACAATTTCTTGTTTATTAACATCATGAGTATCAAATGAATAAATTTCTATCTTATTGTATAGGCTATATTATAATATAATTATAAAAATAAACAACATACGTTAAAGAATTTTTAATTACAAAATAATTGTTGTTAATTTTGTCAAAATGTGAACTTTAAATGCCTATAAAAATAATAGTCACTATGTTTTTATTGTTGCAATAACAACTTAAGAAACCTTTTATTAAATTTTTAAGTTTTAAAAATTTTTATTGGTTTATATAAAGCTAAAAATATTTTAATTATTATATATTTTAAACTTATACATATAGACCTATTCTGTTTTTTTCCATAACAGTTTTGGTTTATGCCCAATACATTGAAAAGTACTGGGAATTTCCTACTTTTTAATTAGGTATTTTCTCCGCTATAAAAATAATATTAAGATACAATAAAAAACACACTCATCATTAAAAAATTAACATAGCTCCATGAAGAATCTAAACAAAATATAAAAACCTATCTAAAAACCTATCTTTAGCTATAAATATTCAACTGTACTAATATTCTTAAATCATTAAAATCTACACACATTATGTCTACAATATGCATCATCAAATAAAAATATATACCAACTCTTATCCTAAAATAATTAAATAATTTTATAATATCTTACTTTTTGTATTTTTTAATTATTTCCATTTTATGAAGTCCATTTAAAGCAGATTTGATTACATCTTTAATTAATCCGTAGGGATGTGAGTTCAATTCTTCAACTTTCATATGAATTGATTTATAAATTAATTCCTCTGAAACTATCTTTTGAGGAGCCTAAAAATGACATTTCATTTAATAAAATTTATTTTAATTAATTGAAAGTACTGTAAAATTAGTTACGTTTATCAAACAACTATAGATCAGTCGATAGCATATTACATAAGGATTAATAGTTAAATAACGAAGTAGTTCTTTTTCTTTTTCATTAGTATGAAGATAAATTGAAACACTACGTTTAAAATCCTAGAAAAAAAAAATTCAATTAGATGTATTCAAATAAGTATGAAGTCTAGTTTATAGAATTGTGGGGGGAAATATTAATAAATACATATAGGCAAAATGATCACACTTACTTCTTTCTGACAGCCATGAAAAAATACAAACTCAAACTCAAATAATCTTCTTAATAAAAAAAACTTTCCTTCTAGGTCCAAGATGTCTAAAATAAAGCAAATATTACACTATAAATTCTATTATAATCAAAGTTGGACATTAGCGATTCATTAAAAGTTAAGTTAATTTCAACTTATTAACTTAAATTATTAGTTTGATATTTTAATTAATTTAACTACTTAACTCATTTGCCTCTATGTTGACTTAAAATCAACTTCTAATTTATTTTATATTTACAATTAAGTTAATTTTGAATTTTCATACTACTCAGTGAAATATTTTATTTATATTAGTATTTTGTTATCGTTTTTAATAATCATAATTCATAAGTTTGTAGAATATAGAAAATATTATCTGGTAGAAAAAAAATATATATATAATTTTCAATAATTTTGTATTTATATGTATCAATAAAAACTTATTTATTATATTAAATAGTAGTTATTAATTACTTCAAATATAGGGGAATTAGGAAAAATTAGTTGCCTGTATAAATTAATAACTACAAATCGACGAATTACATTCATCATACCTAGCTCACCTATACTTACATCCTATACACTCATCTATACTTATTAGTTATCAATAAGATTATCATAAATTGTGGTCATTTTAATTTATATATGAATGTTATTATATAATCATATAGATATATAGAGATATATTTACTAGGTATCTTACATACCTAACATAATATATTAAACATTCATACAGATTTTTGTCTTGTGTTTATTAGGTATTTATTTTTATTACTTAGTACTTTAGTCAGTTGCCATGATAGGTTACATATAAACTTTTTTTTTGTCGCCACTATTTATTAATTTGCTACTTAGTACTTACATTTTATTAGAAATAAACCCAGACCATAATTAGGTACCCAAGTTTCCCAAGCATTTTTTTTAATTTTTAACTTAGTTGATACGTTCAAAACGTCTATTAACTTATTTGTAATGTAAATGAAAAAAAATAGTGAACTTGACTGAGTTAAAAATTGAATTAACTTGCCCAGGCTTGATTATTATATAATTAAAATCCAAATTATTTGATTTAAAAATTAATTAAAATTTAATAGTCAATTGCCTTTATTATAAATGTATACAAGGTTAAGTTCCATAATAATATATGTACAGGGATTTTGGTTTGACCATTTGTTGGCCAGTTGGTCTAGTATTATATAGAATGTAGTTAGTATTATTCTAAAACAATAGATTAATTTTAAGTATAAACTGTAATCTATATCATAAAAGCATGTTTCCTGAACAGTAATTGATTTAGATATAAAGACATAAAATATAGGTGTAAATAATAAGCATTACATTTATTTGTTACTAGCTGAGGTTATAGTTACCAGGTCTTCACCTGGACTATCACTTAATTATCTATGGATAAGATTTTATAGTTTAATTTATTGACTATCAGTTGCTAATTTTAGCAGTTTATGCTTTCTGTGAAATATCAATCTTCTATTGGAAAATATCATTTAATATACAATATTATTTATTAAGAATTGTCTAGTATTATTTTAGAGATTATAATTTTCTAGAATATATCTTGTATTTAAAGGGAAATTTCAAGAGTTTAATTGGACATATTAAATTATTCATGAGATTTACCATATCTTTTTGAAGGATATTTCAAAGATTATTTATTGAAAATGTACTTTGCTCTAAGATATATTGAGTCATCAAAGGGAAATGTCATGGAACTTATAAGATGTGTAAAGGATTCTATTAGAAATGTCACGGAATTTATGAGAAATGTCTAGGATTTGATGAGAAAATTAGTTTTCACTTTAATACATTCTTTTCTGTGAAATATCAAGCGTAAATATCAAATATCAATTGAACTGGAAAGGTAGTTATCAAGATTACGAGTGTGGAAAAAAGCGACATTCTTTTTTATTTATACAGAATATATAGAGATAAAAGAAAAAAACATTTTTAGTTGGTTTTTCCCTTTATAGATATCTAAGCAAAAATACGGGCAAAAAAAAATCCAGTGTATTGCTTTGTGAACAAAGTTGTGGTTTACGTGATAATGTCTAATGTTTGCATATATATTAGGTCAGGTTAAGTAGACTTAAATAAACTTAAATAGACTTAATAAATTAAAATGTTTAAAAACATTTTCTTGCTTTTTCTAAATTTTTTAAAACTGTTACATGGTTATTTAATAAAATCCATTTATTTAAAGGATTGAATAAAATAATAATATATCATCTCACCACTTACCATTTTCCCAAATTATTTGACATTTTGAAATTATAATTATAAATGCAATATTTATAATGAAATGTAATGAAGGATTGACGTAAAGTTGATTTAAAATCAATGGGAATGCATTATCAAACAGCTCAGTTTTAAAATTTAGATTCTCTAAAAAATAAAACAATTTGGTATTTTAATAATTTATTAATAATAACGTATATTGCCGGACTGCATAAAACATTTAATGAATCAATAGTGAACTAATGGTCCCTTAAACAAGATTTAGTGGCCCACGATTGGTCCATTACATTTTTAGTGAACCATTCAATTTAATAAATTGTTTATGCAACCCAGCAAGTTAAGAATATAAAATAGACAGTCGTAAAATGTCATGACTTATAATTTATGTTTACATATTAAGTAGGAATAAATAAAATTGTTTTTTCAACATAGAAAATATATTTATTTATGTACACAAATGTTTAAGGTCTGAAAAATGTATTTATTTTTATTCTTGTAGATTAGAATTATTTATTTAGATTCTTAACTATATTTAATTGACCAAAAAATGGTGAAGATTTCTCTAATATTTGTTTAATTTCCAATTTAGCTAATAGATACTTATATGCAACTTAATGAGATTGTATCTATCCTATAAGACTTCATTATAAAACCAATTATATTGATGTATCGCTTCCTCAAAATCTAAAAGTATTTAATATTAATATAAAAAAAAAACACAGACACTTAATACTAATTATATTTTAAATTACCGCAATCATATAATAAGTTTAATATGAATAATGGAAAAAATTGTTAATAAAAAATTAATTTTTGGAATAAAATCTACAAGTACTTAATGATATAATAGTTTCAGAAAATACAAATACTATGCATTTCTTTATTTATGTTAAGGAAAATATTGTTTAAGTTTAAAAGTAATTGTATAGTTTTATTATATTATAAGATAGTAGGTATGTATTGATTTTTACCTGATAATTCAATTGGATAAATGTTGTGTTTTGAATAGTTTTTTTCAAAATATATTATATTATCCTTTAATGTTACAAAGTGTTTATGTAGTTGAATAGTGTCAATAATTCTACTAGTAATATCAATACCTGAAACATATTATTTGCATTTTAATATAATTTAAAATATATATTTTTGTATTATTGCCAATATAATATAATAATTAACTAATAGTAATTAATAAAAATAAAAATAATTTAATTAAGTTAAAATAGTGGTTCTCAAATTGGGGGGAGTGGATAACCCCCGATAGCCCTAGGGTAGGCAAGACAACATTTCATGGGAGACATGAAAGTTCAATAGATATTTTTAAAAAACAACTTTGAGAGAGATGGAGAGATGTAGAGATGCGCTTCTAAAGCCAGTGAAGAAGATGTATATATATATATATATATATATATCCTATATCTTATGTTAAATATACTTCAGCCTTATAGTGATGAGGAGTGACTGATCTTATACACTAGTATGAAAAGAGCCTTCAAAAGATTCAGAGTTAAGTTTGGACACGTTTTAAAAGTGTGGCAAATTTGCATACAGCAGAACTACAGTTAGCTTTAATATTTGAGTAAATTTACCTATTATTTATCTTAAGATTAAGAAGATTTTGTGTTTTTTAATTGGATTTAACAATATTTCAATTTTTCTAAGATATATGAGAATTTTTAGATTGAAATATTTTACATACATACTCATAACTTGCATAACAATTTTGAAATATCACAAAAAAGCCAACATACAAACACAGATAATGTAATTAACTTTAAGTTTGATCATTGATATATTCAACCAATCATTTCAATATTAAAGTTAAGAACACAAGATTTGTTAATATGTTAATCACAATTATGCTATTTTACACAAGAGAGAAAATAAATAGTGCATTGAATTGCCTCTTAAATTTTTTAAAAAATTTTTCTACAGCTAAATAAAAAAATATGAAATACATTTTTTATACAAATTATTTTTAACAATACTTTAATCATAAGAAAATAAGTAATTATATGTACAATTTTTTTTCTAAATTAATGTGTTTTATTTAATTATGAAAAACGTTTATTTAAAATAAAATACATTTTTGATTCAATTGTTACGTTTATATTGAAAAGTGCCTAACTATAATTTTACACTGATTCCTAGGAGTAGTTAAATAATTATCAGTTTTGTAAAATTAAAGTTAATTTAGGATTTTGTATATTAACCCTATGAAACGTATAATTTTTTCATCAATCAGTAGTGTACTATATTATAGTATATACCTACTATATACTGTCATTGAATAGGTATTTAATATAATATATTACAATTGTAAAAATGTATAATTAATACATTCAAATATTGTATTATATTGTATTAAGTGTAGATAAAAACCTAATAGTTGTACATGATACTTAATATTTAATAGCGATATTGTAATTTACCTTGCACTTCAATTTGAGCTCCGCATTTTTTAAATAGTGTACTTATCCAACTTATTTGATTAATTATTTCATCTAAATGAATAGCTTCAGTCATATTTTTAGATAAGTTATAAATCAGTGCAACTGATAAAATGTTAAAGTATGATAAAATCATATTATGTTGTTGCCTAAAAATAAAAATATTTTATAACTATATATTTACATAGTTTTATTGTATTACATTATTTTGTTGCTTGCAATCTTGTATAAAATATACACAGCATACAATTTACCTATAAATAATTTCATGAGCAAGAGCTGATATAATATTATTTTCATTATTTCTTCCATTTGCATTAATATCTTTAATATATTTTTGAAGTGAAAAGGGAGAAGCAAAATTAATATAAATATTCCCATATTGGTCATCCATATTTTTAATGCTATTTATTAATCCCTAAAAAAAAAAAAATTATTATTTATATTATATTTGTAGTAGGATTTATTACATGTATATTATCAAATCCAATTGTAATCAATACACTTACAGTTTTTAAAAAGTAAATAAAATTGATTTATTTTAAAATGTAAAAACTATACTCATATTTATTATGTCTTAGCATCAGGAACTAGAAAATTAGTTTCTATACTCCCGGTTTTAAAATAAAATTTTAGTTTTTTTTTTTATAAATTTGAGAAGTCATAATGCTTTCATTATTTTTCTAACCCTACCAAGTAAGAATGTACATATAATAGTTATAACTAAAGATTTATTTTCAACATTTAAATTGATGCTGAATAAATTTTACCATATAATATTTACCAATGTAGAAATAAATATAAAATGTCAAAACGTTATGTAAATGTTATTGAAATTCTTATAGGACTATGTAAGACAAATGATTAAGTACATTTATTATACATGTAATTGTGTGGTTAAGGTATTAACATAAAATATGTATTAATATAAAATATACCTAATAGCAGGGGCGGACTGGTCCGAAGAGATACTGGGGACTTTCACGGTAAGCCGCTTATCAAAAATTATTTGTTATTATTATACATTTAAAATGAAATCGGTATAAATATAAATAATAAATATTTTGTATTTTCGTATCATAAAGCGTGAGTGTGAACAATATTTTGTATAAGGTGTTTTAGATTTTATATAGATTTTGGTTGGCTGATAGTCCACTCCCCCGGCATCAATACATCACCAACAAATTATTATTTATAATTAGGGCGAGGGTTTTAATACAAATTGCATTTTTTTCTGAACTTTTTAAAATATTGCTTCATACACCAACGAATTGAAAAATGAAATTTTTACTTAGCATTTTTTTTTAACCCTTTTTTGATTTTTATAGCATTTATTTGGCATTTTTATGGTTTGAAAGAATTTATTGTATATTTTATAAGAATAAATAAAATTTAATAAAAACTTAGCATAAATTTCTTCAAAACAAAAATTAAATATTTATTTATTTTCATTACGTATTATGTTCACTCCTATGCAGTGTCGTATCAAGGAGAAGGTTAGGGAATTATACCCCTCAGCCACCAATACATTTTTTTAAAAATAATAACTATATTTTTATTAATAAATCAATCTCAGAAAAAAATTGTGAACAATTAATTTTAATCCCCCTGAAAAAAAATTCTTGATATGCCACTGGTCCTACTTATGACTTTCAGTTATACAAAACAACACTTGCCAATAACTGTCAAAGTTTTTTTATTTTAAAATAGTAAATAGCATCTAATTATCCAGTGTTAAAATAGTAAAACACAAAATATAACTTATACCTATCTAAATTTTATTTTATATTTATTTAAATTAGAATTTAAAATTAATTTAATTTTCCAGGGAATTTTATTAAGCTGGGTATCAATAAATCGTGTTTATTATAATCCGTTTAAATATTGACTAATGTTTATCATTCATTGTGACTCAGTTATAGAGTAATAGATAATTACTAATACATTATACTCTGTACTTAAGATAAATAACCAAAGACATTGAGAATCTTAAGTTGTCTTCTGAGAAAATTTGATGAGATAATCTGTAGATTGGTACATTTCTTCATTCTTATAATAATTAGTTTAAAAACTGGTTAAAAAACAGTATTGTGTCCAAATTGTATAATAAATATAAGTATAGTTTGGAAAAAAATAACTTTATAGCTCTTAAAGTCTTAACTAATTTAAATAGTAGTGATTGATTTTGTATTGTTGTAACATCTACACTACAGTGCTTATATTAGGCTGTATGCATACATAATCAGAATTAGTAAAATTAAATTAAAATTGGTAAAAATCTAAAAAAAATAAACAATAAAAATCATTGTATTTTTCTTAAAGAATTTTAAAGAAAAAGATTTTATAGAAGACTACACACTGTCTCAAAAGAGAACAATCATTTTTCGATAATTGTGTATGATGCGACAGACGTATCGAGAACCACTTACTCACGCTAGCACCGGAGTTATTAGTGGGAGATACGTATCACTGACAAAAATCAGCCAACTGATTATTCTCTTTTGAGATAGAGTATGTAATTTAATTTCTAAAAAACTATACAAGAAAAATTTCAATGTTAAGATTCAACATTCAGAATGTAAATTAATATATAAAAACATTTTTATACTACATACCAACGTTGTTTCCTTGGGTTTAGGAATTCCTAGAAGTTCATAACTAAATAATTTGTCCTCAAGAAGACGGTCATAATTAATTGATATTGGAACAATTATGATATCTTGAACTTCATTTTTTAATAAAACATTTACAATACACTTAAGTATCCCTGAAAATAATAAAATAGTAAATATTTTGAAACTTAAAATAAATGTTTAAAACAGAATTCTCATTTAAGCGATTTATTTTGATTAAAACAAATTAAATTTAGAATTATAGACCTTATAAAAGCAACTAAACAAGGGAATAATTACATACACTACATACATATTTAAAAATAATGTTGTACAATTTTACCTAGCTTTGGATGAATTGACTTATTAGACCGACTGCGTGTACCTTCAATAAAAAACTGTAATGGCGAATTTTCATAAGTTATCAAGTGTTTAATATAAGTATATAACACTGATCGGTATATGATGTCTTGTGCATTTTTTCCTCGATGCAAGAAAAAAGCACCACATTGTTTCAACACATTCCCCATTATTTTCATATTTTTAAAATCTAAGGAAAAAATTTAATTTAATCAATTTTTTAAGTATTATTTATATTTTAATGATTTTCAGTATGTAGTAAAATAACAATATAAATAACAAAAACAAGCATAAATATAATTAACATACTGCCAATAAAACATGCAAAATAATAATATATAGTTATTTTTTATTTCATCACAGTACTTTGACCATATAACAAATAAAAAAGTGAAAAAATACACAATAAATAACTACAAAAAAACTTATGTACCAATTTCATAATTAAATTTTAATCAATAAAATATTATTTATCTGTTAAAACTGTAGTAATAAGTTTTACTCATAAAAAATTATTATGATTTAATTTAATATTATACTGTTGACATATTATCAATTATATAATTTTCAAATATCTGTATTAATTATTTATGATTCGTGAGACTGATTATTTCTAGTACAGGGATAGGCAACTATCTTTTGAAATTGTTGTAATTTAATGACTAAGAGATTATGAACTAAAAATATATTACACTTGGCAAATTTTAGTTAAGAAAATATATCAATAACTATCTACATTATATTATGTAGTATTTTATTTCTAACACAGTACATTTCAAGACATTGAGTTATTTGTTTCACATTTTTTCTTAAAAGTTTAAATATATATTTATGTGTTGGAATACAATAGTTTAACTTAAATTTTCAAGATATAAATCTTCACAAGACTGTATAAGAAATTAAGACTATTTAAATATTTAAAATATATGTGTAAATGTGTTAAAATCTATAACAACAAATCAGTCAAAAGTTTTATATTATACTGTAGTTTAGTCGTTTAGTCTAATAAATAATAAGAGTTTCGATTTTTTGTTCAAAATAATTGTCAAAGCTATAAACTCTGTTTTTAAAGAGTAAATTCTGGAAGGGATAAAAATGTTTTATAAAATTTATAAAATTACTTACAAATTACATTGAAAAACATTTAGATTTTAAAATTAATTTATAGAAATAAATTTTTATTTTATACCTTAATTGCTATAGAGTAAATTCATACTGTATACTATCTTGTATATAAAAATTATGTAACTCTATGTGCCATATTTATTTAATATATCACTTCTCAAGTTAACATTTATATATCATTTATATAAATTAAGTATGTTCTATTGTTTTGTAAATTCTCTCTTAATTTTTTAATAATTTCTTATTTTAATATGTACAAGGAACATAATAATATATTATATTTTTAACTGTTTTAGAACTAATATAAATTATTATTTATTCTTAGTTATCTAACATTAAAATTATTGCAATTTTTAATTATTTTAATTTTAAATTTTAATTATAGTGCATAGGTATTTATTTCCATAGTAAACATAATTAATTATCATTATTAAGCTATACATTTTTGGTTTATTTTTATTATTATTTTAATTTAAAAAATATGATTAAGTAGATATTTAACTTTCAAACATTTAATTGTTCTTAAAATAAAATTATGTTTTTTTTTTTATATAAATGAATACTTGAATATCCACCTGTTTAATTTAATTAGTTATCTATACAACAAATTTAAAACTTATGATTTCAATTTTTGACTTAACAGTCACTTTAAGTTGCCAATCCCTGCTTATGCCAGTTTTACATACCTACATGTGCAATAATTACCAACATTCAATGGAAAAAAAAGTAAGCTCATCAAAATTATATTACAATCAACAATTCTACTTTTTTTTTCTAATGTATAATTATTGTCAAATACCCATTGCTGCAGCAACATATGGAATATCAATATTATAATTGAAACATATGAATGCCATTAATATAAAATCTTGGTAACTTCTATGACTTGGAACAAATATCACTGGAGTTTTGTTAAAGTTGGATTTCATCTGTTACGTTTTCAAAATAAGTAATCATACAATTAAATACTTACACTATTTTGTTTAAGCATAATAATTCATAATTAAAAATTTATTAATTATTTTTGATATCCTATTCATAAGTTAGGTACATTAAATGTTTTAAATAAATTATAGGTCAGCGTTATTTTACTTAATGAATTTGTTAACCTTTTAAATGTTACTTATATAAATGTGCATACCTACCAAAAAATAAGAACTTAATTTTACAATTTTATTTTTTATTTACTCTTTATTTTTTTAATAATTGTTTAATTTTCTTAAGATTAGTTATAACAACATACAATTTAATTATAAGAGTTCAAATATAATAAATAATAAATATTATTTAACATAGTTAACATTACCATTATCAGTTTTTGTTCATTTATATATAAACCTTGGAGTTTGGATTTCAGAATTTTAATTAAAATGAATCCCATCATTCTAATAGTTGTATTTTTTTTAATACTCTGGAGATCTTCAAGTATTTCCATTGCTTTGTTTGTAGCATGGTCTAAACCAATACTGTTTATTGGTATTACCTGCAAATTAACAACATAATTAGGTATAAATAGCTAAAATCAGTGGAGCCATTTGAAATTTTAATAAGTGCCAACATTTAAGCAGGCCAATTTTTTTCATTTTCAGGCCATTATTTTTTATTATTATGTAAATAAATGATGTAACTATAGCACATGTATCGGGTTGAAAGGTTGGGTATATTTAATACTTTAATGAACTAGAAAAATTTGAAAGTTGGAAGTAGTTGGAAATAGCTTATGTCAAGCACCCCAATAATATATCATCCAGAATAAGATCTAAGCACAATGTGTATTACTTTTATGCATCTAAGTGTTTGTTAATGCTATGGCAGACCAATAATATGTAGAAAAATTAGGGGTGTATAAAACTCTAACCCCCTAACACTAAATGGTGCCATTGGTCGTGATATATTATTCCGTGCACTGCCCAAAAATCCATTACGATTAAATACAAACTGACCAGTAATTGATTCTTAATTCAAACACAATTTTATAATGTCCTGTTATCCAGAACACAGAGCCGGACTGGGCAGGCGGGATACCGGGAGTTTCCCGGTGGGCCGCTCGTTTAATTTGGGCCACTTGTGCTTGTAGGTGCGTTTTTTTTTAAAGTTTATTGGTTGAGACATTCTGTCAATAGACATAGACACATTTTCTAATGCGATTGAATTGAATATAATCTAACCTTGAACATGGGTGTGCGATAAAATATTAAGGAAATTCCTCAAAATAGATATGAACAAATGAATAAATTGCCAAAAACCGATCGTTAATCGGTTATCACTTTATTATCGTAACGCACGCCTGCGCCTAATTTACAAAATTAGTTGAGCATTTAGTAAATCGCGACGAGAGTATAACAAAAGCTAACTTGTTATATGAACTACAAGACTTTTCTTCAAAATGGGACCGCTTAAAATTAACACTTGATGAAGAGTACGAATTTGATAATTTTATTAACGAGGAACAGCAATTAGAACTAAAAGAAAGCACTAATTCTAATTTAGAAATTAAAAAAAAATCGTCAATATTATGTAATAAAATTAAAGCGTGTCGAAATTGTATTTTGTGTTGCTATATAGTACTACTGAAATATAATCTGTACAGCGAAGCTTACAAGACACTAATTTTTGCATACAAATTCATTCTATCACTGTCGTCAACACAAGTAGCTTGTGAAAGAATGTTTTCAAAATTGAAATATATTCTCAATAGAATAAGAAATTCATTGAGCCATGATCATTTAGAATCATTTATGCTTATGTCAGCTGAATCTGATATTTTGATGGCGTTGGATAATGAAATCATAATCGACACACTTTCGCAAAAGAGCTCAAACCTAAACAAATTGCTTAATATGTATAATTATTATTTAATGTGTAGTTATTCTAGAGTCTAAATATAATATGTATTTTAAATAAAAATGATAACATTTCTTTGTACTAACTAATTTTTAATTTTTTTAATTTTTAATAATAATATTAAGTGTTGAAATTCTCAAAATAATATACAATCATTTAATATGGAAAAATATGTTTTTAAAGTTGTTTTTATAGGTATACCTAAGTGGGCCGATTTTTTTTATTTTCCCGGTAGAAATTGTTGACCCAGTCCGGCCCTGCCAGAACATGTCTTATAATAGATCATTAATCTATATCAAGTGTCAATATAAATAATTTAAGTATTTAACTATTCATATTAAGTATTTACTACAAAATAATTATTTGAATTTCCTTTATTAATATATACAAACACATAACATTTAGCTGATATAAGCAAGATAAATATGAATAGTAAAAAAAGTTAATCTTTAGAGAATATAATATACCTATTGTAATATAGACATATCTAGAGATAAATAATTCATAATATTACAAACCATCAGAATTGTTAATTTTATATTTTGTTCTAGTATTTTTTTTTTTTCATAATTTGATAGTTGTTGTCCTTGTGAGTTCAATGCAAATTGTCCAGTATTCAAGGGTTTGAATGTCCATTTTAAGTCACTTTTACTCTTTAACGAAGTTATAATATTTACGAATAAATTGTTATCCAAACAATCCATTAAATCGCCCCTAAAAATAAAGCGCAGGTAGTTCAATAACCATAAATATTAAAGTTAACTTAGTATAAGGTACAGGCCAATACTAAAAGGTTTTATTTAATTTAATATAATAAAAGTACAAATTGAAATGTGAGGTATTAAAACTACAGTGTTTTAAATAGGCACTTAATATTAACAAACTTACATTTTTAGAGTAATTATTTAATGTATATATGTATAAATTCTCCTGTGAACTATAATTCGGTATATATACAATATGTATATTAATTAACATGTATTTCTGATAGTTGTTTAGTCGTTCTTTGCCGCTGGCGTGCAAATTACAGTAAAAATTAAAAGTATAAGCAAAAACTAAAGGTAATCTATTTACCGGCTCGATAATGTGTAGAAGTAATTTGTTATTGTTATTATTTAATGTTATCTTTCGTTGTAAACAATGATAACATAATCATAATATTGTTATCGTGGGTTTTGTATGATTGTGAGCACGGACTAAGATATATCTTAGTCCGTGATTGTGAGATTCGGTACATATTTTAAAGTATAGATATGCTGGTCATTAGGACTTAGGAGGATTTAGGGCACCTGGTTGACCTGTGTATTAGCAGTATTAGGCTCACGTTTTTAAAATATATAGGTATAGGAGGTACCCTTATATCGTATCTTTAAGAGGATGTGGCACCCGCGGCTGTGTGTCTTCGTCTTACAAGTGCGTAATTTACATAGGTAGGTACCTAATTGTACGCTCAACAGATCACGTTTAGCTCCGTTGGTTTAAAAATTAGAGTGAAATACTGAAATGACCTCTTAAAAAAAATTAAAGGTAAAAATATTATTCAGTCAATTTCATAGGGTTTTTATTATATATTTTGATTTTAAAGCGAGTTATGATTATTTTAAAATTGTAAGTTTATTATACAGCTGAAAATACTCATAATTCGCATTCAAATTAAAATATAGTAAAATGACAATTTATTATGACATTGCCTAGATAATACTTTTACCTTTAAATTTTATAAGATGTCAATTCACTCTAATTTTTAAACTAAAGGAGCTAAACGTGATCTGCTTAGCGTAAAATTTGGTATGTTACGCGCTTGCAATAAGGCTGAGACAACATAATTTGTGGGAGACATATGCAGTGCCGTTCCCAGGTTTTGCGAGGCCCTGTATTTATAATATTATATCGAAATCCATAGGTACACTAGAATGTTGTTTCTCTATCTTTTTATAGGTACCTAGTCGAGTACCACCTGCCTATTACGAAAATTTAAGAGTTCACGAATGAGAATCACTTCCACCAGGAGAAATAATTTTAAACAAAATTATAGTTAAAAATAAATATAAGTGATAAAAACCAATTACATACCTATTATATCGTTGGCTTCTTGATACAGTACGTCAGTACCTGATCGTAATTCGTATTTACTATATGTCTATATAAACATTATTGATATTATCTGAGACATATTTAAATTTTAAGTCGCTGCTAAAATGTTTGGAAATATTTTATTTACACGATATATTATATTATTGTATATTATACGCGAGGCCCTTGGAGGCTCAAGGTCCTGGGCGTGTGCCCCGTTTGCGCTGCCCTCGGGACGGCACTGGAGAAATGTCTTCTTAAACCATATAATAGGTACCTACAAAAATATATAATAAATTATAATAGTGTGCTCTAGGATAAAGGAACATAAAATATTTCGATCTCATGACCTCGAATTTCATTTGTTTTTTTTTTTACTGCACAATAGACTTACCTAAATACCTAATATTAGGTACACCTTATTTTATAAAAATTTAAAAAGTTTAAAAAAACAACCGAAATCATACGGAACATTGTAGAATTGTAGATGGACTATTAACTATATTTCAAATATTTATAAATATATAGTATAGGATAAAAAGAGCCAAAATATTTATGAAGAATATAAAATGTTTAATAAACGATAATATAAATATTTTAATAATTTTTAATTTGTGCACTACACATACTGAATTACTAAATATACCTAGTAATTTTTGAAATGTAACGAGAATCTAAAATTGATTTTCTCATAGAATGGTTTTGCGTTAAATTCCTGTTTTTCCCTATAGTTTTTTTCTTTTTCAAATTATTTCTAAAAGTAGGTACTAAAAGTATTCAATTTTTATTTTTGGCTAAAAAACCATAGTCAACGTTGATATGATTGAAGCTTTTTTACTATTGCATAGGAGGCGTCAGGCACACATAAAAAACAAACACATCATTGTAAAACCAGTACATTTATATTGATTTATCGCTCAGATCAGAATCTAATATATAGGTGTAGACAATTAAAAATGTACCTACCTATACTTTATTCAATAGTAATATAAACTGGTAAAAAATGCTTGTAATAATTAATTAAACTAGGTACATTTTAATTATTAAATGTATTATTATTAACTTTTTAATCATTGAACTAGGTACTAGGTACATGTATAATAAACGTAGATAATGTTTACATCGATATAATTGTTACTATAATTGTTAATAAAAACATGATCCGCTTCTATTAAAAAAAAATATTATTCATACAAAAAACTATAGCATAATTATATTAAAACCACCTTATTGAAATTTGATTTTGAAAATAACAAAAATAATGGATTTTAAACTTTGTATTTAAATTGTATATTGTTGACTTCAGATGAGTCATCAATGTCGTTTTCTGTCAACCATTCACTCAAAAATGCTCTAATCGTCTCACGAGCATTTTTAAGCTGTGGAAGATCTGTAGGAGATGGAGGGTACATATTTGCACAATGAGCTGTACCTATAGGAAAAAAAACGTAAATTAATTTAATAATAGAATAATATGTTATTTTTTACTTTTAGATATATGAGAAATAAATTTAATTATAATAATAAGAAGAATAATAATTACATATAGGTTGTTTTAAAAATTACCTTCAATATAAATTGCAACGTTGTTTTTTGTTTTTGTATGAGTAATGCCTAATGCATGCCACGGATCAACAGACCCATGAACATAAATTACCCGGCTTTCTTTTATGTTCAATTCACCGTACATCATATTGCTCCTTTTAATTGCATTAGACAAAAGATCTAAATTATACCTAAAAAAAAATAATTTACAAAGAGATAAACATTAAACATAATATGCATATAATTATATTATTTATACTCATTTACTATTTTAGTATTGCATAGACCAGAGGTCTTCAAACATTTTTACTCAAGGATCAAATAAGTAAATCAAATAAATTTTGAGGGTCTAAACATAGGTACTCTAGTACTTATATAGTACTTATAGTTAAATTTACGATTTTTAGTTTCATAGGAAAGCAATAATGATAAATGAACATTCAATACCTATATTAATAAATATAGGAAAATTATTACCTAACGTTTTATACTTTTATAACGATTTACAGATAACTAACTCGTCATTTATGTCGCACGCCCGGCGAATTTGCTTAGGTTAAGAGGACTGTACACAGCCATTTGTATTGCTTCCGTCTTACAAGTGCGTAACAACAAATTTAATGAAACTTGATGTTAAGAACATTATCTGTGTTTGTATGTGGGTTTATTACAATAGTTCAACTTTTTAGCAAGTCATGCCTATATTATATAATATAGGTAGCGTAAATTAAAAATGCTCATACAAACACAGATAATGTTCTTACTTCTTACTATCACGTTTCATAATCTTTTGATTCACTCTAATTTTTAAACTAAAGGGGTTAAGCGTGATTTACTGAGCGTAAATTTGGTATGTTACGCACTTGTAAGACGGAGACAGCAAATATCCGTGTAGCTACCAGGGACGGATTGGAATTTCAGACCAGCCCGGGAAAATGCTTTTTTACCGGCCCCCTATTTGTTGGGAGATTGGGGGCAACTGGCAAGTGTACACCATACTGAAGATGAAGATAGTAATTTTTTTTAGTATTTTAAATATCAGTTGAATATTACACTAAAATAATTTAACGTATATATTTATATAAAAAAAAAAAAAATAGGTACCTATTTAAGTATTTTGAAAAATATGTTGTTTCTCTCATTTTCTATCAATAAAATAAATTGTAGATTATTGTACTTTAACAGTAACAGTTTAATATTTTTAATTATTAATATATTTCTAAAAATAGTATTTTTTTTATTTTTGTCTTTGATTTTTTCAGCTCCTCATTTTCGTTTTTTACTTCAGTTTGATCCATCCATTTCCATTTTATTTTATAATTCGCCACTATTACTATTGTAATACAAAATATTTTATTCTTATTTCTTTAATAAAATATTCTTATTAGGTATTCATATTAACGAGTAACGACCCGCGTCGACTTGTATCGTCAAAATTCGTCGTAATTACTCATTAAACTCAACCCGCCTGCCCATCTGATCGACGACAACCCGAATACCAATTATTTATAGATTTTACTGTCTACGGAAGTTGATTTTTTGATTACGGTTACCTATTGTTATTGATAATTAATATTATTATTCAGTTTCTGTCGTAGACGTTGTATAGGTATTTGTATTATTACAATTTACAACGTTTTACGTTGTAATATTATAGACTGTAATATCATTGAATGAATAATCTGTAATCAATGGTAATATTTATTAATTATTAGATTATATTTACTGTTTAGTACGCGGCCCATCGGGAAATTCCCGATTTCCCTATGGCCCAATCCGTCCCTGGTAGCTACCTCTTAACAGAACACAGGAACTTGTACAAGCATTATACATTATTGGTATATAGCCAGCAGTTGTGTATCGCGAAGTAGAGACTAGCTATATCGAACTGCAGTAATATCTACATTTTTAAGTATCATAAATAATTTTAATTACTAAAGTTATTATAATCTATCTAATAGATAAATCATAATAATTCAACTTGTACTATCCGCTGTTCCTCTGTGATCTTCAATATACCACTCTTAAGAACAGGGTTACTCAGGTGATAGTGTACCTACATAGGCTACATAGTACATTATAATATTATTACTATTTCAATAATTTGATAAACCTTATACTCTATATCTATACGTAATACGTTCCTATATAGTGTTTGATAGTGTTAGTTTATGAATGCAGGTCATACGTTTCTAGGACCTGTAAAATATAACTTAGAAAACTTTATTTATATCGATTCAATAACTCAGTTCTCAAGACCAGTTCTTATGGTAGGAATCAGTACCGTAGCCAGAATTTTTTTTTTTTGAGGGGAAGGGGGCTAAAATATTTGCTAGGGCTAGGGTTTTACCGGATTTTTACAATATAGTAGGTAAGTTGGTTCATTCTATCATATTTAAGAATATTGAGGTAGGTATTCAACTCTAAGACTCTCATAATACTTTCTTCGTTTTGCTACCAGTGAAGTTATAACATTACAATTGTTGTTCTTTGCGGTCAATTTAAGCTTGTATTTAAAAAAAATATATATTTCAATTAGTACCTATCTAAAACTTTTTTGCTTTTATTTTCAATACATTCATAAAGCGATAAGAACTATAGGCATAAACTACAATAAGTTACCTTGTATGTAATTTTGTACAAATTTGAACATAAAATAATAATAAAAAAAAACTGTGTTTTTATATTTTTAATATTTTTTGGTTATAGAATAACAATAAACCTACTTACGTTGACCTTATTTTAAATTTTCAATCCTTAGCTATAAAAATTGAACATTTTATAAACTTTTAACAACAAAATCATTTTTAAATTTCCAATTTGATTGTTGACATTTATAGAAAAAAAAAACTACCTAAATTGGAATCTAAAAATGTCCGTTAACACTTCAACACAAGTCAAAATATTTTGAAAATTTTTGAAAATGTATGGTGCAAAGAAAATGCTAATATAAACATTCAGTGAAAATTGTATATTGTATCTACGGTAATTTGTTTTAGAGTTTCACCAAAAACAAATATCGATTTTGTAGAAAACCTACTTTTCGCCTAAAACTTCCAGTTTTTCCTTAATTTGTTTTTCCCGGTGCTCTTTAAAATTACTGGGAAATTTTACTTTCTCAATAAATTAAAATTACTTTTTCGATTTTTTTTTTTTTTTAATACCTAACAAAACCTGAACTATAGTTTGGACATTTGGATCTTGCAGAGTACTGTGGGAGCAAATATTATCGAATTGATAAAAACAAATCCAATACATTTTGATGATGTTATTTTATGTTAAAATGTTTAAAGTAATTATTTTTAAATAATTAAATGTTAGCTGTTATAAATCAGTTGGGCTATTGAGAAGGGGCTTTGATTTATTTTGTGCGGCGCTTTTCCCCTAACATCCAATTTTCACTTATCTTATCGATTTGATATAGTTATTAGTTATTACTAATAACTAATAACTTATTAGTGCTAATTGTAACTATACCTAGTTATTTTAAAAAACTTTAGGAAGGCTAACATATAATATAGAGCAGGGGTCTCCAAACTTTTTTATTCAAGGGCCACAACAAAAATTAAATGCTCTTAGCGGGCCAAAAGTTTATTAACACATATAATTTTTAATTTTATGATAATAAATTAAGTACCTACCTATATAAATAATATGTTTACTTTATATTTTTGTATAAAATATTGTTTACTTTACAATATACTTAAATAAGTATAAATATAATTTTATATAGATACATTTTTGAAATAATTTTTTTATTTATATTTATCTATGCGTCCTATGCGGGCCACGGGCCGGTTAAAACTTGTTCGAGGGCCGTATCCGGCCCGCGGGCCGTAGTTTGGAGACCCCTGATATAGAGTCCTAACTCCCAACTAAACTCAAATAAAGTATACACCTATACAAACATTTATTTGTTAGAACTTATTTATTTTTATGTTTCAACATCATTTATTGTTTATTTATAGGAATCTATTCCAAATTATAAGAGTATTACCTATTACAATACATTTTAAGACAATAATATACGTTGAGTATAGTATGTTAAGTTTTTCTATAGAGTAGAGTTTTATAATACAAATCCAGTACCTAGGTAACTATCATCATTACTTTCTAATCTATAATAGGCATATGTAGGTATAATACTATAATTAATAAGAATTCTACACTGACAACAACCTTCCCAATTAGGACCTATCCTGAGTTTTTACAGATGCCTAGTTCTGTGTCAGAGAAAAAGATATAAGCGCATTAACTAAATGATTATAATATAATATTATATTATACGAACGTTTGAATAATTATAAAAATAAATAAATATTAACTATTCATTATCACTTGTTATAATTATTACCATTTTACTACACTAAAGAAACAACGAAGGTAATAAGGTATTATTTCGTTTACGAGATTATAAAAAAACATACCTAACTTATTGATTTATACATTTATAATCAATTAATAATATATTTTTTTATATAAAAAGTCGTTGTAAAAATGATATTGAAATAATTCGTATTAAAATTAAAAGTTAAAACAAGGAAAAAATAACATGGTAGGTACGTGTCATAATTTAATAGATTTCATAATCGGTCATCGGAAGATGGAAACAGTTACCTACTATGAATCAATTTTTCTTTAAAGGTTATCACTTATTAGCTATTTTCTATTTACTTCATCCCAGTACAAAAATATAAATTATGTTTTTTATAAAACATATGTTATATGTTATGTAGTTAAAACAATATAGACATTGTTATATAACTGGAAAATAAAATGAAAAAAATAAATCCTATTTAGACTGCAGTGTTAGACATTTCAGATAAAAAATAATAATTACCTACCTACTTTTCTACTGTCTGGACTCTGAACGTCTGATACAGTGATACACATACCTTAATATCTATATATTATTACATACTTGAATGTATAGGAACAAGTTATAATCCAAGTTACATTTACTTAGATGAAAACGCAAATACATTTCTGAGTGTTAATGTAGGTATAGGTTATATGGGTACCTATATATTAGTTAGGTAGGAAGAGGAACCTATCTTACAACGAAATATGAATATAATATAGTTATATACATAATTATATTTACGTAAAATGTTTACTAAAATGCTGATGAAAATCTATTTTAATAAGTATAATCAGGTTGCTTTAACTAGGTATACCCTTCTAAGAATTATTCTTAATTTCACCACTGCAGGCGCTTAGACTCTGACAATCTGACTTTAAAAATTCACATAATTTATGGCGAGACACACTTTGAAAACGTACCAGTATCAGATGAAGGAAGAAGACTCCCCCCCAACCCCACTATAAGTTCTAGTTGTGGCGTACCCCTTACGATCAAACACTTCGTAACTGAATGTTTTACATTCAAATCGGAGAAACGACGAGAAGCTGGACTATAACATTATATCAGAGTATCAGACCCAACAACTTAAAATACCTACATCATAAATTCATAACATTATCATAACATTTACTATTAGGTAGGTACTCAAGTCTAATTTAATTAATCGTTTATAATTTGTATATTATATAATATGTTCTCAATGTAAATTAAGTTAAAGACAGTGTTAATGAATTTTAAATTAAATTCAGCCAATGGCCATACAGTCGCCGAGGCTTGAATTAATAAAATAAATTATTGATTACATGGAATATATATTTTGGTCTACGTAACGACACTCTGACACAGCTCAAGTTGTCAAAACCAGGATGTAAATTGTTAAGCCTATTATGGTTTTCAGTAGTCAGTAATCAGTAATGATTCTATACGCATTGATTTAATATTTGCTGTATTACACGACTTCGCCTGGGGAAAAATGAATAGTTATAAAATACGATACTCTGTGTATTTTGATTTTAGTGTACCTTAATAATTCGGGTTTCCACTATACACGTTTGCCTTGTACACAAAAATGTTCAACTATGTCCAACAACACGGTATCGTGGTTAATCGTGTGGTAACTTAACCTAACCAACCAATCACAGCAAAGGATTTGTATGCACGTACACATGTACGTGTATAGTGGAAACCCGCCTTTAGTTTACGTACATATGTCAGGGTGTAGGTATACCTATAACTATCCAAAAATATTTTTGGGTCTATAAACCTTAACCACACACATACATATTCTTAAGCCTTTTACTCAAGTATAAAATTTTCACTGGAGCCCCCAGCTCCCTAGAATAGTAGCATATTTATGTTATTCAGAACATTGCAACACCTATTTCAGTCAAATCATATACCTACCAAGTACCTACTTCATAAACCTATAATCAATCGGGCGCTCACGAATTGCCTCCCATCTGACCTTCAAATTAACTCCTCTTTATTTTTGTTTAAAAAGGTAACTCGAATTGCCTCCAGATTTCAAAAATATCATTCACCTGAATTTCCTCCTATTTTAGGTAGTGACGCTCTTGCTACCTCCGCTCTGATAGCTATAATTAATCGATTTCTAACCTTACATTATAGGAAGTATTAATAAATTAAATAAATTGAGTAAATTGACTCAATGTCGATTGATTTAATTTATATTAAGATTAATAAATATTTAAATAAATAGACTGATTCAAAAATGTCAGAATAAAAATTGTATATACCATATAATATAATATATTTTCTCAGTCGCGAGGTTTTGAGTAATTTTTTATTAATTTGTTTTGCGTACGACATAAAATATTTCCCACCCGGTCTATTTAGAGATTTCGTGTACCTATTTTAATATGTATACAAAATATTATTAATAAATAAACTTACAACTTTCCAAAAATATCAGAGCACATATCAATGAAAAATGTAGCTGGAAACTTATTACCAAACGCATGATCTTCTTGACTGGATGTTTGATAAAAGCCAAACTCTGTACAAGTTTGGTATGTCCATTGTCGACCTATAAATACAATAAAAATATATTTACTTTTAAATTATAATAATATACTATACTTTTGCCACCTATACATAAACATATTTATTTTTATGTTTATAATTGATAACAGTTTAAAATTGTAATTTATTGTTTGCAGTGTCTTAGGGTTAAGGTAAACCTTATAGGTTTAAGCCCGCCCCCCAAATAAAAAGTTCTAATAGGAAATTGTATTTTTGCCATTCGTGGGCACAAATTAGCTTTAAAAATTACAATCCGGTAACATTAAAATACATAAGACATAGCCACATAGAAAATAAAACTTATAAACAATAAACATAAAACACATATATTTTAGGTTCTGAGTGGAGAGATGGAATAAACTTTCGTCATTAGATTTTCAGCCGTAAATCAACAAGTTTTATCCGACGATTTTTTTATTTTGTTGTGATTTAAATACGAATAACCATTATAGGTACTTGCAATTTTCATCATTTTCTATAGGTTTTTTCTATTAAAGTCAATATATTTTGTTCGTTGTGTCAAAAAGCTTGCAATTCCATACAAGATTCATCATAATTTGTTATAATAAGAGTTAAAAAATATTAAAGATACAAAGGCAGGATTTTTTTTTAAAAGCATTGAGAGTAAAAAATTGAAAAATTTTGTCAAAACTTAAAATCTAGAAAATTTGCAAATTATTTTGTATATTGTTACGAATTTATACATTTTCTAGTTTTATTATAAGGATTGATACTGTCACTAAAAAATCTAAAGAAATATTTAAACACGGTATTTTTTTATTGCTATTTTAAGTTAAATTTTGGACGAAATTAGATATTTTGATATTTAAAAAAGAACAACGATCTTAATTATTTTGTAGTAATTTGAAAATATTATTATAATAATATATTCTGACCGCTGCACTCAGAATCGTTTTTCGTATACAATAATATTATTTTATTATATCATTGAATTAAAATTTAATACTATCCATTACAGTGACCCACTTGTAATTTACTGACCGCAGAGCAAATACTATTCACCTGTTTTTTTTTTTTTAATACAAGTTTAAAATACTATTTAAATTGAGATTAAGGAATAAAAAAAGCTAATATTATAACTTCACTAGTGATATAGCCAGGAAAATATTATAAGGAGTTTTTGAAATTTCTAACCATTAATCTTGAATAAAAACAAATTTTTTTTTTCATTGGTCTTAAGCCCTGCAACTGACGCTATTAGCTTTGAGAAGTACCTACTGTAAAGTTTTTGGTACGGTGGAGAAGTGTTGGGAGAACACGTTTTTGTGTTTTGCAGAATTTTCTAGTGGGCACCCGTAATCTGCCATGCCCGGATGGGGGATGGCGGCCTCTCTCTCCGGACACCTTTACTACCCGAAGAAAAATGCCACCCGTGGCCGGAATCGAACCGGTGTCGGTGCACTTACCGCAACCGACGCCTTAGTCCTCTCGGCCACTCCGGCTCCCAAATTTATTTTATTGTAATAAGCCGATAGTATAGTAGTATACACTTCGGCGCAATTTCAACTTTTGGCTTGGAGGACTGGATATATTAAAGGCAAGCAGACCATTGCAATATAGCATATTAAAATTGTATGTCCTAGGTTTTTGGAGGGGCTTAGCACCCCCAAGTCCCCCCCCAATTTCCGCCTTTGAGTATATAACAATAAAATGTCTAGAAAAAAAATCCTAACTACGGCACTGGTTGTCTGACTTATTGTCAATCAGCTTAATCGTTTAGTACCTATTGTAAAATCAAAATTGGTTGTACATACGTACTATTTTAATTAATATAAATTATTTGGTATTTAATAAATGTATACTATAGTGTATATAATATTACCTAAGTCTGTATTGCTATTTGGTAACACGATTTATAGTATACTAACCTCCTGCTGCTGAATCACTATTCCAACTTGTATTTAAATAAGAATCGACCATCTTGGTATAGACGTGTTGTGTACAAGTTAAATTATTGATGGATAATAGCTTGCTATTAACATCTGCATATCTGTCCAACTAATAAAAAAAAATATATTGAAAATGAGCATAGATATTATATAGTAACTAATAGTACTATGACACTATGTGCCTACCTATACTTTACCACTGCTATTTTAAGTTGTGCCATTAAGTATAAATTTAAAGGGTATACTACCTACACTAGGTATAGTATATATAGTGTCTTGAAGGGGTTAGGGGGAATATTTAGAGTTTAGGCTATTAATTATTAGGGTTTCCCTTAACGCATTAATATTTTAAGGTTCTATTTCTGATAACAATAATACTTCGAGGATCTGGTTCTGATTTAAAAAAAAAATTCATATAAAAGTCAACGTTTGCCCGGCATTGCGTTTAATGAAAAACAATAAGTGATAATATTTACTGATATAATATATACACGATATGAATATATATATATATATATAATACCTAAGTACTTAATGTCTCGATAGTTAAATTATATTATAAGCAGTGTTGGGTAGTAACGTAACGAAAGTAAAGCGTTAAGTCATTTCATTAGAATTATTTCAAAGTAACGAAAATGTAATGTAAATTACTTTTGAAAAGTAGTTTCTATAGAATAACAAGTTATACCTATTATAACATATAATAAGATAACATGCAATAACAGTTTCGAATCTTAAGTACCTACCTACCTATTGCGAATTGAAAAAAAAAATATATGTATAATGCGGGTATTATATTATGTTTACCAATCTAATATGTATATATATTTAATTTTAACTCTCCACAATTCAGTTTTCAATGGTTTTGACATTTGAAATGTCTAATTGCACTGTACAAATCACGAAAACAAATTAAATTAAATTAATTATTTAATTTGATTCCTTTAAATAGGTTTCCTATGAATAGCTTTTGTGGAAGACTAAGTTCTATACGATTCTATGACCTACACAGGTTTTATAAAGAATTTGCTTGTTCAATTTGCCTGCAGAAGATAATTGCCAAGAAATTAAAATTTTTTTTTTTTGTAACGAGAAAGTAATGAGTTTCTTTTTTATTCGAAAAGTAAAGTAATTTCATTACAATTTTATTTGAGTAACGAATGATGTAACTTAATTACATTTATCTCTTAGTAATGAGTAAAGTAACTTACCCAACACTGGTTATAAGTAATATATAAATTATATATTTTTACTATACGCGTATTAAACATGGTAAATATAAGTAAAAAACAAAGCATTATTTTATATTTAGAATATCTGAATATAACTGTATTGATGTATTATATAATATATTTGTAAAAATGTGTACATACCCTTACACCACTTTATTGTATAAAATTACGTTTACTGTGTTAATTGATCTGCTTAGAATCTAAAATTTAATTTCAGGCGCCTACACGTTATAAATTAAATACTTACTGGAGTTGTTTTTGATTTATTGACCATTATATCACATAAAGTTTCCAATGTTACTAACGATCGTTCAAAGTTTTCATAAAATCTATTGTCCTTATTGTATTGTACAATGTCAGCAAAATTTCCAGCTAAAGTCTCAAACAAGTTCGCTACGTCTTTTTTTGTGTTTATATCCAAGGGATCGCATAATCTGAAGAATAAGGATGAAGTCTTAGCTTTAGTTACCTATATGTGTTAAATTGGGTTAATTTTTAATATGAATATTACTTGAATTTATTTTCAATTAATTTTGCTCCTTTGATTGTTTTAATTTGGTTATCGATCATTTGATTTGCTTCTTTTATTTGTGATACACATTCCGGTGAATACGTTGCTAATGCATTTTCAACCACTTTAAAATATTCTACGAAAATAAAAGTAGACGCAAGAATTAGAAATTAAATGATTTAGCACCTAATCAAGTACCTATTGATATTGATTATTCCTGAATTCATAAAATTTGAGCCATTTAACAATTAATTATAATTATTATTTATTATTAATAAGTCATTGCCCTATAGCTTGGTACAAGCTTGGTACGAGTGGAATTCACTCGTAATATTTAGCTATTTAAAGTTGTGTTTTTAATTTAGGCATCTATTTCGTAATATTATTACAACTGCAGTTATTAGATTAACCTTAATTCTAGAACAATATAAGTTAAGATTTTTAATTCAAACATCTCAAATCAATTGTCAAATACATATTATATAGTTCGAGCAAAATATTGTTCGAAGTATTTCAGTAGGTACCACATGTACAGATAATTATTTGTTTTTGTTTTTGTGTAGACAACTAGGCAGACAGTTTTAGCATATTAACATTTATTAATTAAAAAATATATTTAATTTAAGTTCAAAAAATCCAAAAATCGCATTACATGTACAATATTGATCTCGAGAAAAAAATTTAATTCAAGTACTTGAAAATTTAAATTAAACCCATCCTTTGTATGTTTAGTATCTGTTATAACATACCTTTAAAATCTATTTTTGCCAATAAAGGACCACTTGAAGACACTGCAGCGTACACTAGATGTGGGTATTTCATTCTCAACCATGCAGCCAAAGATCCTGGGTAAGATCCTCCAAATGCTACCCATTTAGCAGTAGCTGGAATATCGTAATTTGTTCGAATATTGACAATGAATTCAGCCAAATCTGTTAATGCTTGTTCACTACTCAAGTATACTAAATTTTTGGTACTCATATCTCTAAAATATAAAAATAGTTATATTGAGTAATCAAAAAAAAAAATAAAAAATGTTTAAATTGACACCTAGGCAGCTACTAAAAAGAAAATACTATTTGTAAAGTAGGTCTTGCTTAAATGTTTAGATTTTTACATAAAACATTGATATTAATTTAATAAATATAATATGCTTCCGGTAAAGTTTTTATCTAATTAAAAGAAACATGCTAGGTACTATTGTATATATTTTATATAATTATATCAAATTCATTGTTATTTAAAATTGATATGCTTAAACACATATTCTATGATTAAAACAATTTATTATAGTATAGTAATATAATATAGTATAATATAATATGACCTAAGTAAATGGTACCTATATTTATATTTCATTGTAATGATATTTAATACAATTCTTACTCAGTAGGATGGCTTTTTCCGTAATATCGATGTTCTAATTGCAAACATAAAGCATTAAATTCTTTAGCATAATCCATCCAAGCCCCACTGTACATCCATTTGGCTGAAATTGGACCTTCTCCTCCTATCATCAAAAACACAGGGCCATCCTTCTTGTAATACTTCTGATTTACTTGATATCTCTTAAAATATGTTACATTGATTTTCAATTCAATATTAATATAACACATAAAAGATAATTACATAGATACATATTTTAAGTAAACTAATGTACCTGTTTCCATGTTCTATTATCAGTAGGATTAAAGTGATCCAGTTTTTGCACAAACCATTTGTCTTCAATGTCGATCACATTTTTAGTTAACGGTGAATTCGGTTCACCTAAACCCACACGTAATTTTTTAAAACTGTATGATGGAGAACTCCACAGAACGCCACACAAAAATACACAAAATATGAATTTCATTTTTCAAAAATAAAATTTATAGTCTGTAAATAAAAAATAAAATAATTTTAGATTCTGAGAAGAGCTATGAATGTATTGATTTTACAATGATGTGTTTTTTTTTGTGTGTCTTTCATCACCTTTTAGGACAGTAAAAATGCTTAGATTTTCTTCATCATTATCTTTTCTGATAGGAAAGTGAATCTAGTTGGTACTTTGAGGGGTCAAAAGTAAAAATTTCCTAGTAGTTTTAAAAAGCACCGTTAAAAACAAAAAAAAATTTAGGAAAAACGGGATTTTTCGGGAAAAAAAAATCAGTTTTCGAGAAAATCGATTTTGGTTTTTGGTATAACACTTAAATAACAAATGACCGTAGGTACATGCAATTTTGATTGATTGTTTATATTAGCATTTTCTATATACTATAACATTTCCAAATATTTTTACTTATTTTGAGCCGTTTACGGACATTTTCAGTTTCATTTTTTTAGTTTTTTTTTTTCTATAAATATGCTTGAAAATTTAATAGAAGACTCCTAGTATATTGTTTCAAAGGCAGATGGAAAAAATTAAAAATCTATTCACAATTTTTTTTTATAAGCATTTAAAGTTCCAATATTGATAAAATACGTAAAAATGAGGAAAATATATATTTATACAAGGTTGGATATTTACTCGATTTCTGATGTACCTAGCGATTTTCCTATTTTGTTGTAATTCAAAAACGAAAAACCAATAACCATACACACTTGAAATTATTTATATCATATGTTTATTATATCAATTTTATATTTGATGAATTTTGAAAATATTATCACTTGTTTTGAGCTGTTTACGGACATTTTCAATTTATATTATATTATATATACTTATCTACGGTATTAAAAAATATTGACTTATAATAGGTACCTATAATAAATTCAAAATTAATCATATCACAATATCCATTAGGTACTTACAACGAATTATATATCAACAACAAACCCTGATACTATTATAGATATATAATAGTGTACAATCACAACACAATAACTAAAATAGTTATTCTAGGTTTTTTATTATGTAATTTCTTCCATATTTGAACTTCAAATGACTATAAAAATTAACTGTGTTCATGTATTTTTTAGATTTTTTGGTAATAGAATTAACTACTTACGTGGAATTTTGTTTTAAATTTTCAATCCTTAGATATAAAAGTTGAACATTTTATAAATTTTTAACTACAAAATAATTATTAAATTTTAAATTTGTTAAATTATGTCAAAATTTGATCTTTAAATGCTTATAAAAAAAAATGTGAGCATGTATTTTAGATATTTTTCATCTGATATTGTAACAATATATCAGGAGCCTTGTATTACATTTTTACACTTTTTGGCCCAACAGATAAAACTTTATTGATATTTATAGAAAAAAAAAAAATTAAATAAATTGAAAACTGAAAATGACCGTAAACAGCTCAAAAAGATTCAAAATATTTTCAAAATTGTATGGTGTATAGGAAATGCTAATATAAACATTCAGTGAAATTTTCGTGTATATACAGTTATTCGTTTTTGAATTACAACAAAATGAGGAAATCGTTACACGACAAATCGACTGAATATCCATTGTTGTAAAAATTTGAATTTCAAACGCTCTTAAAATTTAGTTTGACTTTCTTATGGACATTTTTTTTTTTGATAAAGGGAGACAAACTTATAATTAATTTTGTATTACATTTTCATATCTTAGATTTAAAAAGAAAAATTTATAAGAATTATTAACTCAAAATAATTTGCTAATTTTCATGATTTTTCCATATTTTGTCAATTTTTGAACTTTAAATGCTTTAAAAAAAAACTGTGACTAACGATTCTTAATATTTTTCATCTGCCTTTGAAACAATATCTAGGAGCCTTCTATTAAATTTTCAAGTTTTTTTAACCAACAAATAAAATTTTATTGATAGTTTTAGAAAAATAACTAAAAAAAAATGGAAAATGAAAATGTTCTTAAACAGTTCAAAACAAATCATAATATTTTGAAAATTTCATCGTGTATAGAAAATGCAAATATAAATAACCAGTGAAAATTTCATGTATGTACGTTCATTTGTTTTAGAGTTACACCAAAAACCAAAATCGGTATTTTCGAAAACAGATTTTGTGTATAAATTCCCGTTTTTCCTTAATTTTTCTTTTGTTTTTCACGGTGCTTTTAAAAACTACTAGAAAATTTTTACTTTTGACCCCCCAAAGTACCAACTAGATTCACTTTCTTATCAGAAAAGATACTGTTGAAGAAAATCCAACTACGTAAAAATTGATGACAGACACAAAAAAAAAATTTAAAAAAAAACACGCATCATTGTAAAATAAATACATTCATCGTTCCACTCAGAATCTAATATTATATACACTATTATTATTAATTAAATATTCATAATATAACAAATCTTATTTTTTCCACAAAAATTAAAACAATCAATGTAATTATACTACCTAGTAATAAAATAAAATACTTTAATAAAGCAATATCAAAAGACAAAAACATATCATTAAAATGTAATATACTGAATATACTAATTAGGCTAATAGACCGTCTTTGCTCAGAATTTTTTTTATACAATAATATTTTTTTAAATATATTTTAATGATCATTTTATGATAGAAAAATGTTGATATTCTCCCGGGTGGGATTGTATCCTGTAGTCAGACTTATTATTAGTATAAACACACTTACTTTTGTTATTTCCCAATAACCATGTCACAAACATTCATTGTCCAATATAGGTAATAAGCCGAAATTAAAAAAACAAATATTAATTTTGGAATCGATTCGGTACCTATGTCTTTATTTTTAATTCAATGACCAAATGTAATAAACCAGATTCATTTAAATTTGTTTATACGCTTATATAATTATATCTATATAGTATGTAGGTTGTATACTGTATTGTATGAGTAGATATGTACCTATATTAAATAATTGAGGTTACATTTTAAATTATTTTTTTGTTATAATGATTGTTTAACATTAGGTAGGATAGACGTACCTATATAGTATACCTAATGTAAAATAATATGTAATCTAATCCCTAATATGGCCAGATTACATTCCGTATGTTTATACATATATTTTATAACCACATATATCATAGGTATAGTTGTTACTTGTTAGTATACCTATATTTTTTGATAGTAAATAGGTAGGTATGTAGGTAAGTAGTAGGTACCTACCTTAAATAATATGTATTAGATAATGAATTAATTATGATACCGAGCTAGTTTGAACTATACCTTTTATAGTATATATAGGTACTAAATAGTATTATAGTAATATGATATTTTATATTTTTATCAGATTGTTAAATTATTTATATTTTATTGACGATCAAAAACACAGCAAGTATAGTATATGCTATAAACGATTATACTTACTCGTAATTCGTATGTAATAGCAGGTATTAAATAAATCTTGCACCTCTGAATTGTTTGGAAACACTACACAACGATTCACAAAAACAACTGTTACGAAAAAAAAAATCACGAAAAATAAATAGGTACCGTCTAATATAACTAATGCGTTATTACGTTATTTTGTTCTAAATAATATTATTGGTTTTGATCGTGTTTTTCGAAACACTACAGCAATTGTCAAAATGCAACAACCTCACGAGTATTTGAAGCCTGCGTAGGTATTCATAAAACAACTGGAATAGTGTTCATCGCGATGCCGCAATCGGAATGACAGAATGCTTATTGACTAACAAAAATAAAGCTATTTCCCCCTCTCGAATACTTAATAAATTGCCGCCCATTATAAATATATACCTAAATATATATGTATATATTGCTTGTCGTTTATGTTATCGTTTGTACAGTCTACACAGTCCAATAATTAGATATAATGATATGTTTAAATAATATTTTTATACTATATTCTATATAGAATATAGATCAAATATATAATAGGTACCTGTTTTATGTTTAAAAATTAAAAATTGTTTTGACTTTTGACGGATTAATTATATTATCTTACCTATATTACCATTTACAATGTACCTACTTTATCATCTAGTACTGTGTGTAGTTATAGGTATAACGTACCTACCTGTATAAATATATGGAAGTTATTACTTATTAATTATTATTCACTTGAATCATGATTTGAATTCTAATACAATTTATTTGTGGTAGGTTATTATAATATTTTTATTCACTGATAGTTGTATAAAAATAAATAAATAAATTTTCAATTTTATATAATTATGTGTGGAATAAGATATGAAACATTGAATATATTAATTATGAAATTTATTATGTTACTGACGTTACTGTATCTTATTATTTGTAATTTGAATTAGGTTTATTTGTGAATAATTTTGTCTATATTTATGTAATGTAATTCTCTACCACCAACACAAGCATTATACTTAAAGGAGGTAGATACTTTATTGTAAACATTTTAATAATATGTCAAACATCTTATTTATATTTACAATAAAATATTTAATATAATTTATTTTGATCATATAGATCATATTATAGGCAATAGAACTTATATTTTATTGATAAAATAAAAGTAATGAATAAAAAAAAATTAAGTTGAAGGTGACTTTTGTATTTTTATACAAAAGTGTTTTTTTTTTTTGGTTGAATTTTTAGGTTAGCTTACCTGTTTATTGCTAATAAACATATGAGTATGGTATTATACTATAGTCTATAACGAATAACATTAAATAATAATTAACAATGGTATTGATTATTTTATTTTTATATTAAAATAAAAACACAAAACTTTACTTGAACAATGAACGGCGAACTTAATTCAATAAGTAGGTACCTAATCACAAAAACATGGAAAACAAAACTAGCTCGATTTTCGTAATCCATAATGTGCATTTTTCCTTACTATTATTATATCACATGACCATTCATTAATCATTGTCACAACTCGTAACAATATTATAATATTCTATGTCCGTAGTCGCAACTATTTAGATTTTTATAGATTATACTAGTTGACACCGTGTAATTCGTTAGTGTAAAATGCGAATTTTTAAAAACCCTTTATTAACGAGCCACTATATTATACTGGTACAAAGGTAGTAGGTTAAAAATACAAATACTCAAATTTAAATAATTGTCTGAATTTCATGTAATCTGCTATTATAGTTTAGGCTCTAATAGTCTAGTACAGTAGTACGTTGATAAGTCAGTCAGTCATGAGCCGTAGGATAAATTCGCTTATACATAATAATCTATATATGTATTATATAGATTGGAAAATAACTACCTCGGAAATATAATATTCTGGAAAATATTCTATTAGAAATAAATATTGTTGTAACTATAAGATACTGAACAAATTTTGTCGGAATCGAATTTTATCAATTTTATTCAAGCTTATAATTTATATACGACATTGGATATAATCTATTCAAAAGTAAGTACTTACCTGCCTATAATTGGTAATTACTAATTTGTGTCAGTAAAAAGTTCAAAACAAATAAATATTTTTTGAAAATGTTATATTGTTATCATGTATAATGAAAATTCTAATATAAACAATCAGTGGAAATTTCATGTAGGTACCTACGGTCACACCTTTTAGAGTTACACTAAAAACCAAAATCGATTTTGTCGAAAACCGATTTTGCCTAACAATACTCGTTTTTTCTTAATTTTTATTTGGTTTTCCCTGCGCTTTTGAAAACTATTGAGAATTTTAAATTTGAACCACCCGAATGCACCAACTAGATTCACTTTCGCATCGAAAAGATACTGTTGAAAAAAATCCAAACAGTTTTACTACCAGGCTAATTTAAAAATGGTTAAATATGGTTTTTTTTATTCATCTCATTTCAGTACGGTTAGGTTAGATTAGGATTTTGTATTAATTGATTATATTAATCTACCACAGGTGAAATACGATACACTTGGTATAACTTTGATACTTTAGAGTTAAATCATACATTTACGTACAGACAGCACGGGGTCCGCGATCTACCTCAGGTAGATTGCCTACCTGATAATGTTATACTGCTGCGAATCAGAATTTATATTCCGGACAACGGAAAAGTTAAGATAAATTTTGAACACCATACACCGAATATTAAATAACGTATTGAACAAAGTTTGAGTCATATAGAGTTGGTACATTTAACGGGCAACGAAGTAAACGGGATCAGCTAGTATAATATAGTTATTATAAGCATTATTACAAAAATATAGTGAAAAGCTATATATGGCATTATATGCCTATATTGAATATTGTACAACTGTTCTATATTATTGATTAGTTGTGCACTTGTGCCTATCAAATTGTATCTAGGTATCCATGATGTCTTGTATTAAGTGTAATATTTAAATATTATATACAATACATATAATTTTAAATTATATTAACTTGATCTAGTTTGTAGCAATTCACTCGTATTTCTTGCAGTTGAGTGTTTTCATGATTGCAAGGCAAGAGTACAAGACTAATTAATATTATTAGATTCTTGAGAGGTCTATAATATAGTTATCTACACTATATATAGGTATATTTTCTTTTTCTACTCAATCGTCAGCATTTTACTATTTTTTTTTATACTTACAATTGTTTATAAATAAAATAGGTATATATAGTTACTTTATATGCAACTATTATAATTACTAATATAATTTAAAATTATTATTATACATTTATACATAATAATATATTGTATAAAATTGCACACAAATATTGAGTTTGATGATTTCCGATTAGTAATAATCTCAAACCATCACGATTTTTAAGTTTTGCCTTATAAATTATATTATATACTTTTTTTTATAAAATGTTTTCCATCATGATTGGATTTTAATTATTATTAAATTTAAGGAATTACAACAGTTAATAAGACTATCTTCAAGTTCTAATAATTGATCATTTTTAATTAATTAAAACATAATAATATCTATACTATAAAAGCAAGTCCAGATTTTGTGTCAAGGGTTGGCTCCGAAACGGCTTGACCGATTTGGCTGATTCTTTTTTTGTTATGTTCGTAATTGTCAGGACAACGTTTTTATGAAAGAAATTGTTAGGTAAATCTACCGGATAAGTAGGAAAGCTGGATATCAAAAATACAATAGTGGCGCCATATGTACAAGAAAAAAATAAACTAAATAATAATATATTTTTGCTCATTGTAAGGTTGCTATTGGTTATGGTTGTTGTAGTTTAAGTTGTTAATTTTGAAGAACTTTATTAAAATAAAAAGAGGATATCAATCCTTGGCCTCTCCACAAATGGTGTTAAGAGGAAGAGCTTATCTAAGAACAATATAGTCGAAGGTGAAATTAATAACAATATGTCAGCTGAATAAGAATTAAGTATAAACAAAAAAACTTGGTATAACTTTGATACTTTAGAATTAAACTATACACTTACGTACAAATGGCTATAATATGCCATAAGCACCACTACACCAGTGGTGAAAAAATGGTATATCATTTGCGCTAAAATTAATATTTTATATAAATAGTTATTTAAAAATGTCAATCTTATAAAAAATTGTCAATAAATATAATAGAAATTAATAAATTATAATTTGAATAAATCGGTTTTCGATCTTATAAAATATTGTCAGTAATAAATTGTTAAAATATAATATATAGTTCTAAACTATTAATCTATTAAGTGTGGCACACATGTATGCGCAGGTATCTAGGATTTTTGCGCTTTCATACGATACCAACTCATTTTGGTTCTAATTTCTTCCACCGCCGGTACAAACAGAACGCTGGCCGCGATCTACCGTAGGTCTACCTGATAATATACTGCTACGAAACTCATGGGATAACGCCGGTCGAGATGGCTATACTATAGCCTATACATTAAAATATAATATAATTTACACTAAAAGATATTGCTTCCACATCATATTATTATACCCAAAAGGAGTTGAACAATCAGAACATTTTTCCGGGTAACAGAAAAGTTAAGATAAGTTTTTAACTGTTTTACATTACTCTACATACAGTTCAATTACTCTTCATTTTTAAAAAAAAAAGTTGCAAGATAGATCTAAACAGGATTTGTGAAGCCACGAAACAGCACCACAATTTGCAATCAACTATCCACTGGTGTGGAGCACGCGGGTGACAGCTAGTTTTATCATAAACATAAGGTAAAATCATTGTTTCCTGCTTCGCATATAATATATATTATTTATAACCAATAGTTACAAAATTAAAGATAGGTAATTACAATATCGTGCAGCAAGTGAATTGCAGTATATACCTACTACTATAACTGACGACAAAACGAATATGTCAATTCGTAAAAGGTATAGGTAGGTAACTTATATGTAAGTTTACCTAATCAGTATAAAATATATCCATGATAGATAAGACTCAGCCTACGCGTCATCATCACACACGTATAAGGCTGGGTACTTTTCCAACAAGGTAATATCTTTTTCCAAGTTTCCCAATTGATTTTCCAAAGAGGTTTTTCGATTGATTTTCGTCACTGAATCCGTCAGCATCGGCAATAATAAAAATTGTCTGTTCAATTCAACCCAATTAGTCTTTAATCCCTATGAAACACATGTCAAGGTCGTGGAATAAAAATGGATGACGGAGAAGAAGTGCTCAGAGAGCAAGGACCTTCCACAGGAAGGCTATACGTAATTAATAATATAATTTAACCCACTCACTGTTAATAACTCATAACGTTTATCTTCGGGCAAACGACTCAAAGGCGGTTTGATCGCCTTTATCCGTTCGATCTCTAGCAGCCTGATAGTTTCGTTTTTTTTTCGAATTTTCTCAATATATAAAGGTAATTTCCCGAAATCCTTCAATCACATAAAATAGTATTAAAAAAAAATATATATTTTGACGACAACACCACCACCACCACCAAAACCAATTGGTAAATTAAGTTTAAATTTTAAAAGTAGGTACCTTCTTAAGTACGTACGAAGGCTCTAGGCCGGCTTCGTTCAGAACTATTATGTGTCCTTTTCGACTGTCTTGTACCCGATGTTTTGGGCATGGTGGTACCTTTCTCACCACGTCGACAACGTTTTCACTCAGAAAATTCTTCGAGATTTTTTTTTTTGTTGACAGTTTATTATTATTAGGGTAACACGGAAACTGAACTGGATTTTTGATAGTTTTTTTAGTATTTTCTGTAAATTACCCAGTCAAAAATTAGTGAATGGCCATTGACCACTAGGTTAACCGGGCAACACTTAGTTCAAAATATATGAAGTATGACCTGAGATGAGTATACAAAAAAACAATTAATATAAAAGCTAGGTACCCTGGAATATGACGTCATAAACTATTAAACTCATAACTTATTGATACTTGATAGGTATTTTATTATAATTTATAAATCTTACCGACAAATGGTCTAATCACTTTTCTAGTATTTTTTTTTAAAAACTCGGATGGTTCATTGACTTTGACTTCAGCATAGCCCATAGTTTGGTGGCACCCCTTATTTAATTTGAACTCTCTCTGTATCGACTTGTTAAAGATTGAACGATGCATTGGGGGTTTGATAACTGGTGTTTTTGGCCTTTGGATTAAGTATTTAATATTTTCCTGGTACTCACTCATATTTAGTCTTACCAATTAACTGCAAAATATTAATTATTATTAACTTAATATTTTGTCAAATAATATATAAATGTAAAAATGGAGATCGCTAATATTTGGTACTAAATCAACAATGACAAATATATAATTATTATAACATTTACTGTATACTACTTACTTAGCGACGTACTTACGGATTAAAAATACATTATACAATAAATGCAATACCGCAATGCTGTCGTAACGCATATAATATAGCCAGCAATTACTTTTTTTTGTTAGTTCAATTTTGTATTTGACATCATAAACCTGCAGAAACCAAATTCCTACAACTGTCTTAGTATCTTGCACGTTTTGACTAAGACTATAAATAATTGAGTAAATTGAGTTGAGCACGAAAATGTGTACGAACCGATTCCCTAAATTAGACTTGCATGAGCCAACAATTAGAAAATATTGTTATTTGTTATTTTATTTGTATACATATTGCATATTTTATTTTGATGTCAGCTAGGTATAGAGGTAGTAGCTGTACCTGCACTATACAGAGAAAAAATTAACATAAACAAAACTTTATAATATAAACAAAAATAACATTTTATTAAAAAGATATAATTTGTTGTTTTAAAGGTTTTTCTTATAGATAATAAGTTTAATAGAGCCATGATAAATGTATTGGTTTTACAATGACTTGTATTTTTTTTCGTCTGTAGACACATTTTACAGTAGAAAAAAATACTCCAAACTTCATTTTCGAGGGTAGTTTCTGGTATAGTAGGGAGTAGGTAAATTTGTTCTATAGAAGGTACTTTAGGTTTTTCTTCGAAATTTACTTAATAACCAACAAATTATAAAAAAAAAATACTGTGATATTTACGCAACACCCATTTTTAATAAAATAAATATTGTAATACATTTTTCTGTAATCAAAAACAAATAAAAAATTGTATGACATATGGATAGATTATAGATGATTACCATGTCATTTAGTTAGGTAATTTATGAATTTAAAAATTTAAAAATGTAAGATCTATTGCGATAAAGAGCATAAAATGTTCCTCATGAATTCAGATAGGATTTTTTTAGATTCTGAGTGAAACGATGAATGTATTGATTTTACAATGATGTGTGTTTTTTTTTTATATTTATTTTTTTGTGTCTGTGTACACGATAAGTAGTCGAAATAATGCTTCGATTTTCAACTTCAGTATCTTGTTCGATTGGAAAGTGAATATCGTTGGTGCATTGGGGAGGTCAAAATTTAGGAAAAACGGGAATTTTTACGCAAAATCGGTTTTCCAAAAAATCGATTTTGGTTTTTGGTGTAACTTTAAAACAAATAACCGTAGATACATGAAATTTTCAGTGGTTGTTTATATTTGCATTTTCTATACACGATAACATTTTCAAAATATTTTGATTTATTTTGAACTGTTTAGGGACATTTTCAGTTTCCAATTTTATTAGTTTTTTTTTTTTATGAATATCAATAAAAATTTATTTGTTGTGTAAAAATACTTGAAAATTTAATACAAGGCTCCTACTATATTGTTTCAAAGACAGATGAAAAATATTAAAAATCCTTAGTCATAGTTTTTTTTTTCAAGCATTTGAAGTTCAAAAAATGACAAAATATGGAAAAATCACGAAAATTTGCAAATTATTTCGAGTTAGAAATTCATAAAAATTTTTCTTTTTAAATCTAAGATATAAAAATGTAATACAAGATTCCTTATAAGATTTCCTACATTTATCAAAAAGAAAAAATTCTATAAGAAAGTCAAATTAAATTTTTATGAGCGTTTGAAATTCAAATTTTTACAACATTGGATATTCACTCGATTTCTCATGTGGCGATTTCCTTATTTTGTTGTAATTCAAAAACGAATTACTGTATATACATGAAAATTTCACTGAATGTTTATATTAGCATTTTCTATACACCATACAATTTTGAAAATATTTGACTCTTTTTGAGCCGTTTACGGACATTTTCAGTTTTCAATTTTTTTAGTTTTTTTTTTCTATAAATATTAATAAAGTTTTATCTGTTGGGCCAAAAAATGTGAAAAATTAATACAAGGCTTCTGATATATTGTTACAATAGCAATTGAAAAATATTAAAAATACATAGGCACAATTTTTTTTTATAAGCATTTAAATATCGCATTTTGACAAATTTTATCAAAATCTCGAAAATTATCAACCATCGTAATTAATAAATTATAAAATGTTCAGTTTTTATAGCTAAAGATTGAAATTTTAAAAAAAAGATTCTCATAAATAGTTCATACTGTAGCCAAAAAATCTAAAAAATATATGAGCACAGTTATTTTTTACAGACATTTTAAGTTCAAATTTGGGACGAAATTACATATTAAAAAACCTAGCATACCTATTTTAGTCATTTTGTTGTGAGTGTATAATACTATTCGTGGGTACTTGAAACTTCTAAAGTACACTATATTATATATCAATGATAGTATCAGGGTTTGTTATTGATGTATAACGTGTTATAAGTACCTAGTGGATATTGTGATATGATTAATTTGGAATTTATTATAGGTACCTATTATAGGTCAAATTTTGGTTTAGTACCATAGATATGTATATAATATGTCTTAAACCTAGACTGACATACCGTCTTCGCTCAGAATCGTTTTTCTTATGCAATGATATTGTATCATTGAATTCAAATTTAATACCATCCATTATACAGTGACCCACTTGTAACCTACTGTACAGCAGAGCGACATCCACTTACCCACCTTTTTTATAATAATTATTAAAATGTTTAAATGGTGATTGCTAATGTTAAAAAGGTTTTAAATTCAAGGTTAATTGTATATTTTGTATTGGTGAAAAAGATAGTAGGTATCGACATGTACCACTTTAGTATAGCCAGTATAGGACCTTCTTTACAAATAATTTATTAGAATAATAATCACAGTAGCTATTTTAAAATCGCATGTAGAATCATAATAACAGATAGTTGAAATTTTCACTAAATATTATAACATTTTTATTTTTTACCATATAGGTACATATTATATAATTTAAAATATTTTGACTCTTTTTAAACTATTTGTATACATTTTAAATTAAAATTTGTTTTTTCTCTAAATGTCCATAAAATTATTTGATTTGATGACTTTGACGGTTAATTCATATTAAGCTAACATTCAAATATTATATAAATGAAACTGTCAATATTTTTTAAAAAAGCATAAAAAAATTAATTTTACATAATAATTATAAAATTAAATTGCACAATTTTTATTTTATTGTACATATCATAATTATTAGTCTCAGCTTCCTAAAAAAAATACAGTTATAGCTATGTTAGTCGTGCTATACTTGAATAGTCATAAGTTGGCCCATAGTGAAAATAATTCGTATATACGCCACTTTATTATAGTAGCTGTGCCACCCGAAGTTGTCCAGACCAAAGATTTGTATTTTTAATAAATATATTTGTACAAATATTATTATTATATTATTATATATTAAAATTTTATAGAAAATCAATTTTTGTGTCACGGTTTAGGGCAGTAAAACTGCTTCGATTTTCTTCAACAGTATCGTGTTTGATGGAAAAATGAATCTAGTTGGTGCATTTTAAATTGGTTGAAAAGCGTGGAAATTTAATGCAAGGCTCCTATATATAGTTACAATAGCATAAACTTTGAAAATACATGGGCACAATTTTTTTTTATAAGCATGTAAAGTTCGAATTATGACAAAATGTATCAAATTTAAAATTTAATAATTGTTTTTAGTTAAAAATGTATAAAATGTATAAATTACTTTTTTTCATCAAATATACTTGGTAATATCATAGGCAGACTTTCCGTTTTCGCACAGAATCGTTTTTCTTATACAATGATATTATATCATTGAATTCAAATTTAACACCATCCATTACACTATTACAGTAACCCACTTCCACTTGTAACCTACTGTACAGCAGTCAGCAGAGCGACATCCACTTGCCCACCTTTATTTAGTAATTATACTAAATAATTTATTACTAAATAAAGGTGGGAAAACTATTAAATGGGTAAACTATTAATTATTAAATTAATAGTTTGATTTATCAAAAACAACTTCATTTTTTCGTGCGTCAAGTGTTTTTTTCTCGATATTTCTACATGCCACTTGTTTTTGAAGTTAAAAAATTTGTTTAGCATTTTTAATTTGAAAAACAAATGATACACTTGGTAATTTTCATTCCATAAATTCTAAACAATCTAAACTATATGAGATTTCTTCTATAAATATTCTTGAAAATAAGATAATATTACTTATGATTATAAATGTAGAAGGGGTGCAGGGACTAGCCTTATTATCTAATTACATTTCTGATTCATGTACTTGAGTTTTAATTAAAGTTATTGTTCATTTATGTTGAACATTTCAGAACTTTTTAATATTAAAATAGTTCTGATTTAATTATTTGGTATAAATTATTTTAAAACACTTAGGTACTTATAACTTACTGCCTTCAAGTGGTTTATTTAGAACAATAATTTTTAATAATCGATTCTTTAAGGATTTTATTTTTTATTATGTAATTTTTGTGAAACCCGCTTCCTCCAATTATTAGGTATTTAATAATAGTTTTACATTTTACAGAAGGTATTATATAGCTGAAGCTGTTTGTTTGATTGCTGTTGCATTGATGTATGGATCATTTTTTTTTCCATTGGTTAAATTTAAGAACTTGATGATGAATGTCAACATAGCCGCAATACTGCATGCATTCAATATCAACTCAAGAAAAGTTTTAATCATTTTTTATTTATTTCATAATTACTTAAAAATTGTAAAAAACAAATCATGATTTGAAAGTCTATCATTATATGTTTTTCTCAAAAAAAAGTGTGATGATACTGTATGTTGATCATTTTGTTGAAATACATACATTTTGAATGGCATTGAAGTAAAAGCACTGTTATACCGTCGTGTTTTTTAAATGTTGTGTATGGAAGTACATTGCTTTTAATAAAATGTTTCATTGC